TGCGAAAGTACGGCTGGAGCGGGGCTGCGAGCCACCTACGGCCAAAACGCCTTCTCCTGGGCTACTGCCGACAGTCACCTGTCGGAGAGAGGGGTTGGGGTGGGTCAGAGAGAGAAAAATCAGCGATGGCTCTGAGGGGGGAAAGGGGGAAAGTCGGGCAGAGCCTTTCTCCCCCACCTACAGATGGCAAGAGGAGGCATTGCGAAACGCGGCCTAGCACCTACCGCGTTGCGACACGGGCTGTTTCAAGAGGAGAAACGCCGCCGCCTCCAGCAGGTCACGGTGCCCCTTGTTCCGTGGGGGGACCTTTTCCAAACCTGTCCAGATAGAAACCGGGAGAGCAGCTGGCTGCCACTTTGTGTGGCACGGTGGTGCTGGCTGAGCAGGGCCCTGGGAGGAACCGGTGCTATCGGACAATACGAAACCCCAGGACTTTTTTAGTTGGAAAACCCTAATTTGATGACCGTGTTAGAAGCAGTGAACTTGGCGTTGCTAAATGTGAAAGAGACGGCAATAGCATTTTGGAGGAAAGACAGAAAGGCTGATTTTTCTAGCCAGCCATTGAGATACTGCGGCCGTGGGGCTGAATGGAAGGAAGAGCAGGTTTCGTGCCAGCCGCATCGGGGCTTGGTTAGTGTGGTGGCTCAGAGCAAACGCTGCCTATGGGAGGAGCGTGCCCAAAACCACATACTGCTCTCCTTTGGTGCAGTCTGGGAGAACTTGTATTCTAAATGAGCACACTCGTTTAGAAGTCAAAAAAAATGCAGTAGGGAATATGTACTTGAAGTGTTAAAATTTTAACCTAATTTTATGATGATGTTCAATGTGAAGGAGACTGATCCAGTGACCTTTACACATGTGAGTGATTCAGTTTCAGTTTCAGGCAACATCATCAAATGTGCAAGACAGGGCTGTAAAAGAGGGCAAAATGAAAGTATCTCTATTAAACATTAAAAGCTCAGTCTTGATTTGCTGAAAAGAAAAATCAGACCAAAATGAGCTTGCTTGCTAAACATCCTGTTTGTTTTGTGGGGGTTTTTTAATTATAAAATTTTTATTAATTTTCTATTTAAATTCTAGATGCTTCACAGATGAGCTAAAGTGGAACCATGTGGAAATTGTTTTAATTTTTGTAATGAAAGCTCTGTTTTAAGACGTGTGGAATCCCTCAGAACACAGTAATATAGGGCTTCAGGACAAAGTTAACTGTAAAGAAGAACAAGAAATGGAAGGAAAACTCAGGAAATGGAAGGAAAACTGAGAGACTTCCAGATCAACAGGCAGAGCAGAAAGATACATGGTAAATATTCTACTGTATTTTTTCTTTTCAGCCTCAGCATTTAATATTATTTGTAGTTAACTGAAGAAATAGGTGGAAAAAGTTCTTTACAGAAGTTAAGTCAAACAAAAGAGGGAGCTCTTCCTACACCTGTCCAGCTTTTCCCTGTGATTACTTTACAAAGATCCTGATTCAGCAAAATAATTTCTGTATAAGAATATACTTAAATGCTTTCCTAAATATCAAGCCTTGTTGGGGGGGGGGTTTAAGAGAAGTAATTTGTACCTTTACTTTAGTTACTGGTGATTGACAGTGTCTTTACATGACAAATTCATGCTGACGTGGGTTTTTTACGAGACTGGAAGATGAAGAAAAGTCTGTGAAAATGTAAAAATGTTGTCTGAAGCAGACTATGGTGAATTATAGAAAAAACACCACCACAACAACTGTGTTGTGTGAACATAGGCCATTTATTCAACAGGATAATTAATTGAGAGGACTAAAGTAAAATAGGTATTAAAAACATTTGTAAATTAGAATACAGTGAAGTATGTTCTAAAACTATTGAGCAGTTTGATAGAACTGACCAAGATGGTCCTGAAGATATTTGACAGGTTTGTGTTGAGGGTACCAATCCACAAACCAAATTCTAGTACTTTCAAAAAATTTTATGCACACTTTCTGTGCATAACTCTTGCTGAATGTGAGACTATTAGGTATAGACCGACATTTTCTTATAGCAGGCACCATTACTGCTGTCTAAAAATGTGTAGTTTACGCAGTGGTCCTTTGGGCTGTGCTTACTGATTATCATGTGGGCAGAACTTCCTCACGAGGACCGGTGAAAGCAGAAGGATTTTCTGCTTAATCATTCCAGTTTTGTTGATGGCCCCTTGTCTTTGTCCAGTTCTGGGTCAGTTAAGGCAGTAGCCAAACTTCCCCTGACTGCACATTGCAGGATCAGGCCCTGGATGTTCTCTCTTGGCATTACTGTTTCATGCTTCTGTATATTGGTGTAGGAAGCTTGTGCTAATTTGAGAATCTGGTGGGGGGGATTTATGACTGACAGTATTAATTTTTAACTTTAGATCTGTAACTTGGTTTTGTAGAATTAAGTCTATGTATAATAGACTTTTAATTTTTATATATTTTTATATAAATTGTGTGTGTGTGTGTGTATAAATATATAGATATATACACACGTGGTAAAACCCTATCTGATGCCAAGAGTTTGTTGGATACCAGAAATGTATATATACATACACAGAGAACTTAAGATAGTAAAGATGCTTTTTATTTAAGTTGAAGATTCAAGTTTTAAAATTCCTTTGTTGTTTGTGACCAGCTGCAGTTAAATTAATAAAACTTAGAGCTACAAAAATTGCCCCAACTAGATGATCAGATGAGGTATATTAACTAGATAAAAATTGTCTGAGTTTGTAGCTGAAAAAACTACCACCAAACAGTTATTATCTGGGTAATTGTTCTATTACAACAAATCTCATGATCATAGTCAGGCTGCCAATTAATAGATGGGCTGAAGTCTACTTTTGCAGTAAGCCTAAGGAATCAACTGCCAAGCAAGGCACCATCCTGACAGTTTCTAGTGACCTAGACCTTGAGATGATGGAAGTTCTTTAAAGTACTCTGGTTGCTGTCCTTTCCGTGAAGTTCACATACTGCCAGTGCAGTCATTTTCCAACCACTGCTTTTTAAATTAAATAAACAACCGCAATTGAAATGCAATGTGAAACGTGGAAAAAAACCAAAGTAACAACAAGAAAAAGATATTTTAATTTCCCTGCTTTTATTAGAGACTTTTGCTGCGGACTCATGTGACTGTAAAATTATCTTCCTACAGGCTTCTGCAAAATTCTGGTATTCATAGAGTGTTAAGAATTTTCAGAATATATTCTTTAAACATTTGTACTAATTGTTGCTAAGTTACATGGCTGCTGATTGTAAAAAAGGACTAGTGTTCATTTTTGCATGGGTGATAAGAAGGAAGTATTTAATTTTCCGAGCGTCAGATATTATACCGTGAAATGAGACTCCTTGTCACATGATGGCTAATCCAATCATAATAGCTGGCAACTTTTGTATACACGCCAGGGTGACCAGCCTCCCCACAGTTCTCACCCCAACTCACAATACCCCAGACATATGCCACATTTTCTGCATCAAAACAGACCAAGGGTCCTCCCGAATCACCTTTGCAACTGTCTATGGAGCCATCATAAGTACCTGAAGCAAAAGAGGAAATAAAAAGGAAAAATAAGGTCATATACAAGCTAGCACACAAAACAGAGCTCAGGAGGTTTTTCAGGTCCTTGTTGCTTCCTGACAGATGATTGCCTAATGGTCACCAGTAAAGGAGGTTCCTAACCTCTTCGGTCTATTACTGCTCGTTTCTTTTTAAGTGCGGGGCCTCTCTTTACATTTGTGGCTGGCCCAAATTCTCCTCATTTGCTTTGATGTCAGTGATGTGAGTCTTGTTTTACCCTATGCAATAGAGACGAATTCAGCCGTATTACCTATTATATCATTAGTAGCAGCTCATAAATAGTCAACAAAAGCGGGAGGAAAAAGGTAAAAAGGTTTGTAGGCTGATTCCTATGGAAATGAAGCTACCGTAATATATGTATGCCTGCATGTCTGCCTTTGGTGTCCTCTCTACCCAATAATTCATTGGCCAGTTTCATCTGTACAGAGCTGTACAGAGAGGCAGAGACCTCGGAATTCTTTTCTCTACCAGCTTTATGAAAATAGGTGGGCAGGTACAAGAAGGAGAGCATGTGAATGCTGGGATGGGAGGGAGAGCAACTGTCTGTTAAGTGCCTTCACTGCAAGGTCCCGGTCACAGTGTGGACCTTTTGCAACACCAGATAGCGGCCCTGAGGCACAAGATCCAGCACTCTTTCTAAATTTCAGTGCTTACGGAACTACTTGTTTGCAATTCAGCTAATATAGTGCTTGTGAAAAAATGAATTAAGCGTGAAGGATGCGATATAAACAGAAGCACTGCTACAGAGCTAGAATATGACCTATGCTTTGTCCTATATACTCAGTAAAAGTTTATTAATTTCTAACACCCTTACTACACTTTTCTGTTTGGTTGACTGACCTAGTATGAAGGAACCCGTACTAAGCGCGAGTCTCCAAGTTTTTTAAAATGTAACCTCTTTCTTGAACCTCTGCATTACTGAGAAAGAGTTTTGTGAACTTTTCAGCATTGGAATTACTAATCCTATAAAACAAGATTTTATTGCCTTTACTCAGTTTAATTAATATTTGCTTGTATAACTACCTCCCGTGGATACTAGCCAAAGCTTGTATTTTCATCAGGGAGGGGAGGCTAACCCCAGATACCCCTTTTCTGATGTTGTCCCATGTGATCCTGTCTTTGTTCCCTCCTGGTAAAGTATGATCACTTGAAATACATTGAAGATCAAGGAGATAAGTTACGGAACTTGCACAGTAGACAAACCCAGTATCTTATAGATGTCATGCTGAATTTACCACAAATCATTTGGCTTTTATATGCAGTTTTTATTTTTCTCATTAAGTAGTTTGTTTAAATATTGCCTTTACTTTTTGATTTAAAGAACATTTGAAACTGTCTGTCCTGTAAGTTGAATACTCATTGCTCTTTTAGTCATGTATTTGGCAATACCTTTTGTTACTTGAGAAGCACAAAATGTGTATTCAAAATCCTTATTTTAGTACTAGGAGTGACAACCAGTTTCCTGGCCAGACTAATCTTAGTTTGAAAAGTTAATTGTATTTTTCCTGGCGTGCAGTGTGGTAGAGGCAAATTTCTAAGCGGATGAATAGTCACATTCTAGTCAACGGGACTACTGATGTGCTCTAAGACAGGCATTTGCTTAAATATGTTGCTGAATCAGAATCAAATATAGTAAAGGTAGGAAGTTCAGTGGGCTGTAAAGTGCTTGTGTATTTAGAAAACTTAACCCAAACTGCATGCCGAAATTTGCCCACATAATCATAGAAACTTGGCATACTGTCATCTTAACTCTGTTTATAAATAGATATATAATGCTGGATGCATCTAGGCTCCAATGGCTAGCATTTTGCTAATGGCAATACCGTGGCAATCAGTTTATTGTCTTTCACAAGTCTAAAAGATTCCCAGCCAGTATGTCTGGCCTTATAAACAGTGGGTTTGATGGTAGGGAAATTATAGTAAGAAAATTGGTGCTTGCCTGCACATGCCATTTGTTTAAAAAATCGTCCTGGATACAATTCAGAACAATTCTGAAATAAATTAACATTGCCCCACTTGAGGATATATTGTTTGGTATAACCTAGAAAAGAAAAGAATAAACTTTTCTAAATAAAAAATGGTAAGCACATATTAGACACTTTTAATATCATAAATTGAAAGTTATATATTTGCTTATCTACAGAATATAATCTTCAATATTATAAACCAGATACCTTAAACTGCCACTAACACCCCAGATAAATTGCAGTACGCTGCCCATATAAAAGCAGAGTAGTTTAATTGCAGTGTTAAATACAGTACTTTCATTTTGTGACATTTTCACCCTTTCCCTTTCCTTGTCTTCCTCAGGTTTTTTTCTGCGTTTTCCATATCAAGGTTTTCAGACACTGGGAAACTGGTATATTGTTTTCTATGAAATGGAGATGTGGCTCTCATCATCCTCGTTACCTTTTTTCCAATTCTACTCTGTCGTTTTGGGATGAGTGGACCAGATATTGAAGATACAGGTGAACTATGTATTCACAAGGTTAAGGAGATTCTCTGCTTTGTTCTCTGTCTGTTTGCTAGTAATTCCCAACTTTGCATTTGCTTTATGGACTGCTACTGAGTACGGACAGGAGAAGCCTCGCAACCAGTATGCGGTAGCTCCAACGCCAGGCTGTAATCACTGTGATACAAAACAAATGCTTCCCAAATCTTTGAAAGCGTGATTACACTTGGCTTATCTGTCTCGGTGCAACCTTCTCCAGGTTAAACTCAAACACGGCTGAGACAAGATGTGCCGAGTTTCCTAACTGTTGGCTGCAGCTCAAATCCTCTTGGGCAGGGGACAGAGGACGGGCTGTGACTGTGGGCCACTGTGAGCTACTAACTGCCACTTGTTAGATATCGTTACCAGGTCTCCACAGCTAATATAAATCTTAGATTGGCAAAAGGAACATTTCTTATTGTCAGGGTAGTTTTCAACCTGGGATGTCCTCCAGATCAATTTACTAAGCGGCTGAAACAGCAGAGGAAGCAGTACAGAAAAGAGAACCAACAGTGATAGCCAAATGCGGAACCACAGCCTACATTTTCTGTACTCAGCCT